AGTAACTGCTTGGAGACGTTGTGCATCGACATATATAAACGAAGCGCTTCCTCTTCTTTCTCACTGATTCACACTGAAATGGTACAGCATACCCAATTTTATGCTTTTTGAACCCGCATTGAATTTTTTTGCCTATGTTGCGATCGCTTGTAAAGTGACTAAACCGTCTTCTTTTCTCTCGATTGCAGGTCAAAGTGGACGGATGGAGCTCCCTTGGAGCCTCGAAGGAGGTCTGGAAAAGCAAACGAAATAAAGGTGATCTCGGAAAACCTAACTGGAAAGTCTACTCTCCTTATAGGGAACTCCATCACAAAAAACATGGAAAGGTTTGCCCCCAGCTAACACCGATTTTTCCCCGCTTCCACAGTGTTAAACGTAGGCATCGCGGGCCACACTGTGGAAGCAATCCTTTACAGAGTCGAGGTAATGAACATCGCTTCCTCTGTCTCTCATATCTCTCTCCTCTGTGGCACTAATAATTTATGTTCACATTCTCCTGCCACTATTTCTTCCGCACTGACTGAAACTTATTCAGTTTTACTGCGACGAAAGTGTCCAACTGCACATAACCATTTAATTTTATTTATTCAATTTCACTGCGATTATTTAACAAAGAAAAAAATCATAAACGATATTACAAAATGATAATAATATTAATAATAACTGTAATAACCACATTAATAAAAAAACTCTTAATACATAACAAGGCAGTGAGGAAGACTAGAAGGGAACCGACGAACCATACGTGCTAGTCAACCCATTATGAAAATAATCATTTCCAATTTTGCCACGATTCGACCACCTTCAATCACACATTGCTGCTACTAACTCTTGTGTTTATTTTCAGGTGCAAGAATTGTTTCCGGAATGTGTTTTTTTCCACGAACTGCCATCCACGCTATTTAATCAAAATTTGTACAGGCCTGATAAACTCCATCTTACCACAAAAGGCAATGACATTCTTGTCAGGTGGTTTCACCACTGCCTAGCCACGTCTACCCAAATCACACCGGAACCAAACACACCCCGTGCCCTCCCTGCAAGATGTTCCCCCTCCTCTCGTTATCACAGACCTCCAACCCAACTATACCTTCTCCATGCAGATACAGCAAACGAAGCCCGACTCCCCCTGCATGTACCCTTACCAGTCCTAAGCCAAGTCCTAATCCCATCTCAGTACCTAGCCCTACCCAATCCGTCTCCATGTTCTCCCAAAACCCAGCCCTACAAAATGCAGCTCCAAACCCTGCTGTACCAAACTGAGCTCTAAATCCAGTCCCGGCCAACCCAGATCCAAGATCATCCTTAACCAGCTCAGCCCTTGCCATCACGGTCCAAAACCTACCTCTAGCCAGCCAAAGCTGAAATTCAACCGTACCCCACCAAGACATAAATTCAATCCTACCCAGCCAAAGCCAAAAACAAACTCTACCCAACACAATCAAAAACCTAGCCCGGCCCAGCCCAGTGTAAAATGTAGCCCCACCTATCCCACCCTGAAAGTTAGCCTTACCCAGCCCAGTACAAAACCTAGCACCTGAACAGCCCAATCAAATACCAAGGCCTGACCAACCAAGTCAAAGATCCGGCCCTACTCAACCCAGTGAAACACCTCGCCCTACCCAACCCTCTCCGACTCCCTCCTGGAGCTTCTTTCATGCTCTAGTGCCCAGCCTTCCCGCGCGGTTGACAATCAATCAAACATGGCGGACAAAGAAAAGATGGAGAGTGATAGTTTTCTAAAGTCTATTTGTAAGTATCCCTTGGGCCATGAATGGATTTTTGCTCTAGCGCCATATCTTGCTTTCAGTAATAAGTAAGGATAGGTGCAGTGAAGGGTTTTTGCGATGTAATAAGTTTTGATTTCGTTCATGGTGGAAAAGTTGCATTGCGGCAGTCGCAAGTTGATGATTTTGCCGCATGTCCAAAGTATTTCAACTTAATCACAATGCCATGCTTTGTCTCCGCTCCGCTCATAAATTGAACTCAAATGCTATGCTTGTGAACAAAAAGAGGAAAACACGAAAAAGTCGCGTGTTTGCCTTGTGTCTTTCATTCACGGACGGCTGACTCTATACGTTTACAAAACTTTGGCAGCCTGGTACCGAATGATCAGAATTTGCTAATACTCCTATACCAAATTATTTCAATTTGTTGAAGACTGTTCATTTTCAAAAATCCGATCGAACTAGAGAACAACTTTAACATACACTATACTTTCAATGTTTTTTTTCCCAGCCATATTAGGGAGATACGCCAAATGATTTGTAGAAAATCCTTGGTCTTGGAAACTTCCGA